GTTTGTTATTAATGCTTTCCGACCTTCAGTACTAATTCGATTTTAAACTTAAAATATATGTTATATTTAATGTTTAATAGTATCTTATGCATTAAAAGTGATAAATTCTAATAGTTTGATTAATGTGACTAGTGTGACCAGTTTGACCATAGTTTAGAGTTTACGATTTTAGGTTTAGGATTTAGGGTTTATAATTTATGATGACATGTGTCAAATTCTACGGAGAGACATGGGGTCTGAGGCCTGAAATCCGTTGGAATTCCATTAGAATTATTTCAATCAAAATTTCCAACCGAAATATATTGGAATTCCGTTGAAAATTTCAAATGATTTTTCCAACGGAAGTCCGTTGGAAATTTTTAATTGAATTTTTCAATCGAATACGTTGGAATTTAGTTAAACAATTTCCCCTTTTCCTTTTCCATTTTCATTTTTTCATTTTTCTAATATAATTGTGTTACCATTACTTCTCAACAATAAGGTTTTTTTTTCTATTTTTAAGTTCTTACGAGTACATCAACTTTCAAAGTATTTTCTTCCTTAAAATTGCGAGATATATAATGCTAGATTTTTCTATTGCGATGCTGATTTGAATCGCATATAAAATATAATTAACAAACTTACTCTAAAATATTAGAAAATGATTTAAATACCAATAAAATATAATTAAAATTTCTTGTTATAAATTTATATTTTACATGAAACACTTATTCGTGTATATATATATATATATTTGGAAAAAATATTTGGTTATTTAATCGTATATTCCTCAATAAGATAAAATTGTACATTTATCCTGCCAAAAAGAGAGAAATTGCATATTTGTCAAGAAATACTTCATTAATACTGGCCCATGGGCTAAATGTCAAAATTTTAACTAGCCCTTATATGGGCCGTATTATAGTTACTGGGCAAATTAGAATAAAATGGAAATAACGTAGACTTAATACCACGCCGCACTAGTAGCGCGTTCTACCACGCGCATGATTTTGATGGAGTCGCACATTTTCATTGATATGTTTCTCTTCTTAGGGGTGTGAAAAAAGCTTGAGGTCCGTTACTCAGTCTGAATCCGGTCCAAAAATTGACGGGTTTGGGTATGAATAATTGAAGTCCGATCATTTATCGGGTCAGTCTGGTCTGACCCGTTGACCCGATAAAATTTTAAGTATATAATATATATATAGAGATAAATATATACATACATAAATATATAAATATATTCATTCACTAAATCATATATATATAATAGAGAATTATAAAAAAAATGAAAAACTTATTTAATATTAAATAATTTAAGATATAATATTTTAATAACTTAATGTATATAAAATTATAATATCATTAGTATTGAATTTTTACTAGGATTAAAAAAATATAACAATTTAATATTTAAATAAACTTTATTATTATATAAAAATTTGAAATTTTGAGTTTTAATTTCTCTTAAATCAAAATATATATTAATAAACGCTTTTTATCAATATATATATATGCTATTTTTTTATTTGGATGATTTTTTATTTATATTTTTATGGTTTATTTTTTTTGTTAATTTTTTTTGAAAGTTCAAATCCGAAACCCGGCCAAAATCTGAAAAAAAGTCTATAAAATCTTAATGGTTTGTGAGGAAGATTGATCCGATTCAACATTCTTACTTGGTTCAGTATTCGTTTGTAGCTCTCGAGCTTCTTTGAGTTGTATTCGATTCCCACCAACTCCCTTGGAAACGAACTCTCTTTCCATGAAAACATCATTCCAAACAATAAACAATGTATTCTTGTATGGATTGCAGAAGTAGTATACCCATTCTTTTCTTCAAGGTATCTAACAAACAAATTGTTGGGTTTCGGTCAAATTAGAAAATAAACAACGAAATTGGATTTTAAAACTTTTTCGAAAACCTTTGCCAATAGATATATGTTACAATCACTTCGATGAATAGAAAACTAAAATTTTCGTTGAGTTCGAATTCCTTAACTTTCATAAGTGGTAGTAGTCTCTATATCGTAGTCCATGCGGGGCAGTAGATCTGTTAGAATTCATAAGAAACTTTTTCCTTCGATGAGCAAGAAAAGAAAGAAGACAGAAAACCCTAGATCTAGGTATCTAAGGTGACGAGCAAAATAAATAAATGTGTATTTCGGGATTAGGGTTGTATTTATAAGCTCTTGATTATGTTAAAAACGTTTTTTTTAATCTAATTCATCTAGACCGACCCACGATCATTAATTCTTTGGTCCAGTTCAAAAGTCCAACTGGGTTCTGAGTGTAACGCGATAATGCAGATTTAGATAACTTCTCGATACCATATAAATTGGGTACTATGTCAATCATTCGTGATTTGTGTGATTTATGCGTAATTGTGACTCTCATACTCCTCTCCATCTAGAAGAAACTCAATGTGGATGAGTTCAATCCACGAGAATGGTCTCGAAGCTGACTGACGGATCGATCAAACATCCCTTGAACATCCTAGAGGATATATCTCTTAAGATATATAAGTTATATACCTACCGATTTTGTGCTACTTGATATGGATGTAGATAGGCACACGCACGCCTATTATTTTTTACCGTCTGATCTTGATAACACCGAATATTATATATAGTCATCCTTGTACATAAGAGCCGTCTCACGGTGAATTAAATTTATCTCGATAATAAATTTTTCTAGATCCTATGACTAAGGGCTTCTACGCATGGATCTACCTAAGGATGTATGGTAGGTTTGGTCGGTCACTGTGATTTGCCCACAAATTTTGAGTGACCATAGTGTTAGGTTGTTTCCCCTCCATTAGCCCCATCAGCTCATGTGATGCTTCCCCACATAGCATCCGACTTCCGGCTAAGGCAGGCACAACTACGAGTCTCTGTCTTGTCTCCTACATTACTTTCTTTGTGTACTGTTATATGCTTTTATTATGTATATTTGATTTTTATTTCACAACATGAATTTTGATTCTACTGCTCCTGCTCACCTTAGTATGACCCGACAAAGGCAAAAGTTGGCCTATCGTTTACGGCATCCCACTCCTCGAAAACACCATTTGAGGTTCATTAATATTAACTGCGGGTAGCCGTTTTGGTTTAGATATATAGAAATGAATGCTAATGGAATTTTAAAATAATTCTAAAAAATCGAATTAAAATCTATTCGTGAAACGAGTAATTTTTTTAAAATAATAATCGAATCCAAATAGAAATCAAACAGCACCAAAATCGATATAAAATTATACCCATGATAGATTTGTTTTCTAACACTAATATTTCAAGTAAAAGTGTTGTATTGTAGTGAGGGAGTAAGGGATTTATATCGCTCATGAGAAGATAAAAGCAAAATCTTTAACTAGGAGATTCTAAAGCCTAAACTCAAATAAAAAACTACAAAAATAAAAAATAAAAAAAAATCTTGAAACTATAAAAAAAACTATTTTATAAAGACGTTTTAGATGAATTATTTTACTTAAAAATTTTCCAAAAAATAATTCAATGATACTCGGGGTTTTGATTTGGCTTCTTTAAGGCTGTTTGCTATTCCGGTGGAAATAAGACACCATGGAGTAAGACAGTGTACCTAAAACATATGATCCGAGGGACACCATTGTCCTCTCCGAGTCTCCGACACCAAGACAACGGATAACGACCGTACAATTGTTTAGGGTTTTTTAGGGTTATATGGCCCTATTCTTTGTTTGTAGGCCCTTTGTGCATAGGCCCTTTTTTTTTATATCCGTAAATATTCCTCATATATATATATATGAATCAATGATTATACAAGTTTTGTTAGTGGCGATGAGCCATTACAACAAACTGAAGTAAGACAATAAACTCAGGTTAATACAAAGTAAACGGACTATAGAGCTTCAAAATACCGAAACCAGTATGTGAGCAACGAATCTTCAGTAACTGTAGGTCTCCATTCAGCTCGGATGCTTGATAGATGTATAGGCCCTTTTCACATTTAAACATATAAAAATGTGACAACACTCGGTCTTCAAGGGGTATACATGGACCATATCCATTGTGCTCAGAAGTGGCTTTGCTGAAAGATAAAAAAAAAGGTTGCATTTACATATTTTTATTTTGGGATATTATATTACTAGAATCCATATGACGTGGGACTACGCAACGTACCAACTTGACATCGCTTCTATTCATAGAGACAAATGAATTCGGAAACCAATTTGCTTAACTTCATAACCCTATCATATTACCCCCAAAAAGGGTTGTAGATTTCATTGCATTGGATTTTGTATTGCTTTATATCCTAGAATTTTGAGACCACCAAAAGCACACCGAAATAGAAAAAAAAAAGTGAAGTCCCTTGTCATAATGGCTTAGAGTGTAAAGAGATCAAATGTATAAGAGACGACAACAATAGTTTTTTTTGGTCAAACTGTAAATTTATATATATATATATATACACACACGTTGTTAAAGTATATAACAAAGTTTAGGTTACATCAAGATGAAATCATCACCAGCCAATTAAAAATCATAACCAATCAAAGTAACGGAATCAAATACTAATTAAGTGGGGAATTGGTCAGAGTAGGAACCGCCAAATCAATATGTAGAGATGATACTTTACGTGGAAAATGTCTCTTTGAATGATCTCATTAGTACAAAAGGTGGGCAATACCAAAACAACGAAACTTATTAAGCTCGACCTTTTCCCTTCCTTTTGAGGCCCTTCTTGACCACTGAGAAGTTTGTAAGGATTTTGGAGGCAACAGTCATTCGTGAGCGCAGTAAATGTTGAGCTTCCTGCACTAATTCATCCTCAGAGTAAGAATCAAATACGTAGGTTGTTTTGATACTTCGAGTTCGTTTCTCTTTTTCCTTGGCTTGGGAACATGATACGGGAGAGTTAGGCGATGGATCATAATTTATGGGTTAATTAATAGCTAATGGAGTATTCCGAGTGTAAGTTATGGACAAAGGTGGAGGGTGAGGTGAGGAGGGTGTTGATTAGTGGGTTAAGTGACGGGAGGAGGGTCAGGGGTTATGAGATGGAGATGGAAGGGGACAGTTTGAGAGTTGTTGTGATACAATAGCTACTTGGGTTTTGAGAGGAGCACTTTCTTGGGATTTAACGGGAGTATCTGCGAGGATAGATTTGTCCCTTGATGAGAACACAGGCAGTGGGGACGTCAGGGGTTTAGAGCCAGTTGGGGCAAGGGCAACTGAATCCAACTTAGGGGAAGGACAACTCGAAGCCTTGTGTCCGAATTTATGACATTGAGGGCACCGGGGAGGGAGCCATGAGTAGGCAACATTTACTCTGACGATAACACCCCTATCATCCTCAACCTCCACCGCCTCAGGCAAAGGAGCTCCGAGTTGAACCTCAATTTTGACCCTAGACTCTCCTATATTCAGGTGGCCGAGCCTCATCTTCTCCGTATGCAGTGATTCTCTAACACCACTAGCGATGTAGCTGATACCTTTCAAGGAGTACATCTCAACAGAAATATTCTTGAGAGTGATCCATATTGGAGTCAAGGTAAGCACCGATTGCCGAAGAGATGACGTAGGCGTCCATTCTGAAAGAATGAACATGACATCCCCGCATACCAGATTCTGACTTCCAAAACCTACTCACGAGTAGCAAGGTCTGGCACGTGGAAAAGGCAGGAGGAGTCACTGACTCGCCTAACCAGTATACGAGCTTTCCTTCCCGATATAGGGTTAAGAGATTGAAAGATCTTGGAACTTGAATGAGCAAGGCCATAAAAATGACCAATTAGATTACCTAACCAAGCTATGGAGGCCTCAAGGAGAACAAATCCAAGGACTTGGACCCTGGGAGTACCATCCTCTGCATATGTGTGGGTAGTGACGCGAGAAAGGTTATGGGAAGGAGGTTTAAGCCTCTGGACCCAAGAAAAATTAAGTTTACTCCAAGCTGAAGATGTATGGTCACCGGGAATAGAAGAAGGGTCTAGAGTGGGGGACATGACTTTCCCCGAGCTAGGGGTGGATGGAGTAGGATTCAACGAGTTGCAGGGGGAATGAGAAGAGGAAAATCATGGGGAAGAAAAATATCAGGGTTAGGCAGGGATGTAGCCGATTGAGTAAACAAGGGAAGTCTGATGAGTTTACAAGAGATCTTGGATGGGAGCTTCTATGGAATAAAATCAGCGGGAGGGGGAGAGTGTAAGCAAATGAAGAAGACGAAGAAGTATAAGTAGAAGAAGAAGAGGTCGTGGGGGAGATAGAAACAAAAAGGGAGTAGGGTAGCAAGGGGGCATGTGAGGAAAACAAGCGTAGTGTTTTCCTCCACCTTTTCTTTCATTTTTTTTTTCACGGGGTGTTACATTTAGTCGATTCTTAACTTTACCACATAAGTCTTTGTGATCGACTCTGGTACTAAGACATCTGTATACTTGCAGATGTGTTGTGTTTCGGATTACAAATTTAAGATTCGTCACGCAAGTGATCAACCGCTCATGACTGTGCAAGTCCCCGTTGATTAAAATGTGAAATTAGCTCGGTAGCCAACAAGACATTTTCGAGGATGGAACGATCTTGTATGAAAGTTTTCTGGTTAGCGAAGTACAACTTGCGGGAGAAAGAGTTTCAGTTTCCTCGCCAAAAGCCTTTGAGATGATCTTGTATGTGATGTTGTAGCACGAGATTGACCTGAAGTTTTTATGATGCTTCATCGATTGTAATTCTCCCAACTTCATCCTCGCTTTTGCTTTATTTTGGAGGTAACTCAGTGTAATGGGACAACATACATATATATATATAAAATTTACCGTTTACAAAAAAAAAAAAAAAAAAAATCGTTGACCGCTGCAACCAACTCACCCTTTACGACCATCCCATCAAGCAATGAAAACATCACTCGAATAACAAGTTAAATTCGGGTCAGAATTACCCAAAATGTTTTAACCCGACATCACTTGGTAAGACAACAAATGGCGTTGGTAGCTTGTCTCAAAATCATCACATGGTGGAATTTGTATTTTGATCTCTCTAACTTTTGCCATTTTCCTTCAAGAAAATATTTAAAATAGGAAACAAGAGGGAATGGAAAAAGCCAAATAAAATAAGGGGTTATCTCAATAAATAAATAATTTTTTATGTTTTACATTGGGCTTTAGGAATATATATCTCAAGTTTAATTATGATTATTATTTATATTCTTTCGGGGTTTGGTCAATTTTTGTTTTATAAAACTGTATCATTTCGTGTTTTTTTTATTTGTCTTCTCTTTGTTTTTAAAACAGTATGTTTCAGATTCGATGTTTTTATTAAAAAAAATTAGCATAATTTTTTTTTATAAAAAATCGTTTTCATTCACAAGTTTCATTTATTTTTATATTCATGTTGGGTCAGTTTAAGTTATGCTCTGTTTTTTTTTTGGTTCTGGTCTCACTTTGAGGAGTTGGAGGAACAATATTGAATATGGTGACCATCCATCCTGTTATTATCTCCTTCTCGGATGATAATATATTTTTTGTCCTATAGAAAGATTATATAAAAACGGTTAAAGAGTTATAAATTGACCATCCATTCGGTTATTTGAAAAAATCGTTAATAAATACATGAATTGACGTCAATTAAATATGTAAGCTTTCAAAATTCTATAAAAATTTATGAATCTTAGTCTAAGTAACAACTAAATAAATCAACATTCAAATAAATGACAAAAATGGTCAAGAATGGTGTCTACAGACTTGCAGACAGAGATGAAAAATTGACACGTCATCCGCCATGCCATTTTAAAACTAATGCATCACAAAAGAATTGAAAACAAAAAACAAAAAATCACACACACACACACATATATATATTTTCACGTATGTACACATATACATACATAGTACTCTAGTGTATACACACATACGCATACATAAATACATATATCTACAAACATCCATATAGATGTGTATGTGTATATATAATCATATATTACGCATAGATATGTGAATGTTATAGCTTGATTTATTTTAAAATTTTCATTCTTTTCATAATGTATCGGTTTTTAATGACATGGCCGCTGACATTTTGAACATTTATCGTTTTCCATCGTCGGATTCTATCAGTCTATTAACGGTAATAGGGTTATTAGATACTTTTAATGTTCATTATAATAAAATTCATTTATTTCACGTTTATTCCACCTCGAATTCGAACTTTAAATTTGGAGAAAGATCGTATATTTCAACTCGCATAGTTCACCTCCGATTTCGAGATGTGGTGCTTCGTTCAGTACGTTCGATTGCTCAAAATATAATTAATGTATTTCTCTAAACTTTTCAGCAAATGTTGGCTATTTTTTTTTGTTATTATATGAAAAGGTTACGTTAACGGTTAAGGAGTTATAAACCGACGTTTGAACTAATCTGCGGAGGTGGGAAGACGGAAGGGCACGTGGCCCCAACATGTCGTGGGAGCATTAGGACAAGACTAAGGAAAGACGAGATCCATTTGTAAGGGTGAAAATGAGCACAGTCCCCACCATAAACCCCGTCTTCAATCCCTAAACCCAGACATCTTTGGTTCCCATGTGCTCCTTATTTTAATCTCTCTCTCTCTCTCTCTCTCTCTCTGAAACCCTATTTCTCTCGTGGGGGGGGGG